TTGTTTTGGAATCAAGGTAATGGTGGCCTCATAAAAGGAGTTAAGGAGCCTTCTCTCTTCTTGAATTTTTTGGAATAGTTTGAGAAGAACAGGTGATAATTCTTCTTTGAATGTTTGGTAAAATTCTCCTATGAAGCCATCTGGTCCAGAACTTTTGTTTTCTGGGAGGTTTTTGATTACTGATTCTCTTTCATTGGTGGTAATCAAAAGGTAAAAAAAAAAAAAAAAACATTTTGAAGGCATTTTCAAATAAAACATTTAAAAGTGTTTGTATAAAAATGTTTAAAAAATTAAAAGCCGATGAAGAAACTTTCCGTCATTGTCATAAATGGATAATCAGTACTCATTCAGCATATAAATTAATGTTGGGAAACCAAATGGGGTCATTAGATTCTATCTGGCCCCACACAGCTGCCGGCTCAAGGCTCCGTGCCTGAGGCTGCCTCTGTGTCTATTAAAAAGGAAGATTAACAAATGCCAGGGCGTGTTAAAGACAGGGCAAGCACCCAACACACTTTCTCTGTGACTTAATGAAATGGGTGGTAAAATTATACCCTCCTGTCCATCCACAGTCAGCATTAGTGCAGCAAATGGTCTGGCCCCTGGAAAGCTGCCTCGGGCTCTAACCCAGGAATCTAGGAATCTAGGAATCGCTGCTTACTTAGCTCTGGGAGATGCACCAGATGCTTCCTTTCTTTTCCATCCACCCCTGTCCCCTTTAGGACCTTGCCAAACATTTTCCCAGCGGCGAAGAGTCTCTGAAGAGGCTGGAGGAGCAGGCGGTGGACGTCATCCAGAATACCTCTCCTTTGGGTGCACAGAAGATCACCGAGGAACTGGAGGAGATGCGGAAAGTTCTGGAGAAGGTGTGGGGCCTCTGGGAGGAGGAGGAGGGCCGGCTGCACAGCCTGCTCAAGTCCAAGGAGGCCTTCGATCAGCAGAAGAGGCAGCTGGAGGCTGAGCTGGAAGAGTTCAGGATGAGCCTCCAGAAGCTGCCCAAGGAAGGCCTGGAGCCCATGGTGAAGGGGGGCACTGAGGACGAGCTGGTGGCCCGCTGGAGACTCTACTCGGTAAGCAGAGTTTGGCCAGGCCACGGCAGTCCAGGTGGCACACGTGCCGTGGGGTGTTGCCGCTTGGAGCCCCTCTGTGGTGGGGGATTCACGCTAAGCCTTCAGCACACTCTCTGGTTTTCCTGGGTCTTTGGGTGTGACTAGAGTTGGGTGTTTGCACCCATTTTCTGGATGAGGACACTGAGGCCTGGAGAGATGTTTTTTTCACAGCATCCCTAGGATCACATGATAGGTCGGTGGGTAAATACGACCAGAGGTGGATTGGTGACAGGTTTGCCACTCCCTTGCCCGGTGTGGCACGTGGGGTGGGCCTCCCGGAGGGCAGAGGGAAAGCTCTTAGCGTAGAGATGAGGGCGGGGTGACATCTGTCAGAGCACCCTCCCCTCCCAGCGTGCCATGTGCACATTCACGCGAGGTTTGACTGGACAGAGAGATCTTTAAAATAAGGGCGGACGCCCTCCCCCCACTCCCATGTTTATTTATTAACTCAGTGGGTTAGCTCCGTGTCAGTCCCCTTAGGGGAAATTTCCAAAAGAAATGCCACCCAGACCTCACCTCCATTCTGCATTGTTGTCCTATTTTTTCTCTTTCTCCTAATGTTTGCCCATAAGCGAAAATATCTTTGTGTCGGGGCGGAGCGAGGCGCCCGTGCTCTTCGGGGCTCACTCGGCCTCACGGTAGCCGACCCGACGCCACTGCGATGATCAGCTTCGTACGAAGGGATCGCTTTCCCTTCAGGACTGTCTGCCTCGCCGCGGCGGAGGCGGCGTGGAGCCGTGGTTAAGGGCGGGGACCTTGGGATCGGGCCCTGGGTTAAGTCCCAGTTCCTCTCCTCGCCAGCTGGACGACTTTGGGAGAATTACATTGATCGGTTGAGCGTGAAGCGGGGATGGCGGTTGGAGGGTCCACCTCACACATTCCTTATGACCACGTGAAGACAAGAAACGCTGAGAGTAGCACGGGACTTTGGCCGGACGGTCCGCTCTCAGGGAGGGAAGGCGTGGAAAGCACGGCCACCACCCCGGTGTCACTGCGGCCACCTGTCTGCTACCTCCCAGGAAGCTTTTCCGGGGCGGGATGCCGACCGCATCTCGTGGAGGCTCTCTGCCCCACCCCACCCGGGCGTCACCTCAACTCTGACCAAGCTGTGACTAACCAGAAATCAGTAAAGGGGAAATTCAGAATTATTACTAAAGACTTCCGTTCTTAAACTGTTTGCTCTTCATGTGGCCTGTTCTATCGCAAGGAGCAGACACACCTGACCTGCTCCAACCCCGCCCTCTGGGTGCCTGCGGACCAGGCCAGGTGTGTGGCTTCAAGGCGGCCGAGCCGGTGTGGGCTGGACGCGCCCCGGCCCCGCAGAGCAGGAGAAGGGAGCGCAGTCACCGACCTCGCAGCGAGAGAAAAGTGTAGGCTGTTTTCTTGCTTTTGACTTCAAGGAAGCAGGTGCGTCAGGGCCTCAGATGAAAGAACAACTTGTAAAGAAGGCCACGGTGAAGGCCACGTTCATCTTCAGAACTGTCACAGGGAGGGGGTCATTCACGCAGCACGCGCTGTTCTGAGTGCTACTCAGCCCTCGGTGGGGGCACTGTCACGATCCCCCGTTGCTAGGTAAGGGGACTGAGCCCCGAGAGGCTCTACCGCTCGCTCCGGCTTGCCCAGGGCAGCGGGAAAGGGCGGCGTCTTAAGTGTCGGGACGCAGCCCCGTGGAGCCAGGGCTCAGCGCAGGTGTCCGCCCGGCCTGCCGGTAACGATAAGTGGACCGCAAAGCGCCGTTAGGCCATCGTTCCCTTTGGTGCTGAAGAGGCAGGTAAAGAGCCAGATGTCAGGTCCGCTGGTCACCTGCCCTGCGTATAAAATGGGGACACAGAGACTTACCTGTGGGGGTCGCTGCGGGGCTTGAATGGATGGGAATTTCGGAGCATGGTGCCAGCACTTCCTAGATAGCAGTTATCTGTGTTATTAGATGTTAGTTCACGTGACAACGCCGCGAGGCAGGTGATACGCAGAGAAGAGCCAGCTTGGTGAGCATCATGGAGCGGGAGCTGGGGGAGCAGGGGCTGAGCTCCCAGAGCCCCAGCCCCTGCCCTTGGTGACAACGTTTCCCCAGCCCCTGGCGACAGTGTTTTCCATGCCTGGCCCACTCCCACCAGCCACGCCCGCCCCCTGCACACGTCCCCCTGCACTGACCTGCCCCTCGGGGGTCACCTGTGTGCTGCAGGCAACTCAGGCAGCGCTGGCCACCGAGGAGCCCCGGGTGGCCCAGCTGCAGGCCCAGCTGAAGGAGCTGATCGTCTCGCCCCACGACCCACAGCTGCTCCCCAACAGCGTGGTCACTGCCATCCAGGAGTACCTGAGGTATCTGTGGAGCTGCGGGGGGCGGGGCTGAGGGGCTTCTTCCGCCATCCAGGGCCGTCTCCGGGAGGAGGGCTCGCTTCCTCTTGCAGCCTGGTAACTCTTAATCACGCTTGCACCTCTCAACGACGGCACGGCGTTAAAGGGTCTCACTTGGCTCAGGCACTGTCCCTTTAGATGGGACATTGTCACAGAGGCCCGAACGTTGCTTTTTTCCGTGCTAAGTGGCTCATTCGCCCATTTCCATCAAATCTCTTTATCCGCCTGGAGCTGGGTCCAGCATGTCATGGCCCAAGGGAGAGCTTTTCAACAGACAAACGTGATGTTTGTCACGCCCCTGCCTGCTGATGATGCGGGCGGAAGCCCCGAGCCCATCTCCACGCCAGCCTCTGCCTCCCCCCTGGCCCACGGGCTCAGGCATAGCAGGTCTCCAGTCTCCTAGCTCAGCAAAGACCAGCAGATCAAATATCTCTCCTGTGCGGAACTCAGCACAGGGCAAATTTGGAACCTGTAGCTAGTTTCACTACATGGGCCTCAGAGGGTTTGGAACACAGCACAACCATCCACGTATCCATCGTACCTCTTTTTTCCTCTGCCCAATCCCGGGGTTCCTCCAGAATGACTTGGGGGAGCTCCTCCCTTGCCGTGTGCCTCTCATCCCAGTGTGCTCAGGCCCCGCCTCTGCAGGTTGAGAGCAGCAGCCTGGATCCCCCATGGGATGCTAAGGTGGGGCGGGGGGACTTGGATTCCCCGTGCACAAAGCAGGCAGTGGGATGAGGTGGCCGAGGGCCTCCTTGTCCCTCTGGTTTCTCTTGTCGAGGTGTCGGGTGCTGGTTCTCCATGGCTGGGTGCTGGACCCTGTATCTGAAAATTACCTGTAGAAACTATTTGGACCTAGGATGATAGCATCTTACTCAAGAAAGAATTTTGTTTGCTTCTGTGAGTCGCCCAGGGACAGGCGGTACCTGTCTCGGGCCCCGTAATTACTCTTCAGGGCTTAACTTCTCCGGTCCCGAAGCTGGGCTACGAGTCTTTTTGAGGACATGCTCACTTCTGGAGGGCATAGACCTCTGAGGTCCCACGGACAGTCCCGGCGGAGAGGACAGGGACCACACTGGGAGCGACACAAGCCGGACTCCCCGGGGTCCGGGCAGAGGCCTCGTCCGCGGACTGACCGCGCTCTCTCCTCTCTCGGTTCCCCCCACCACGGCCCTCACAGCATGAAGGGGAAGAGCACCAGGCTGCGCAGCGCCACGGGGGTACAGCTGTGGCATCGTTCCCAGAGGCCTCTGCAGGACCTGCAGCTGTGGAGGGCCCTGACCCAGAGACTCCTGGACATCACAGCCACCCTGCCAGACCTGCCCTCCATTCACACCTTTCTGCCCCAGATCGAGGTAACCACGGTCCTGCCAGGGTGGCTGACCGGGGGAGCTGCCAGCCAAGCACGTCATTTCAGTCACTCTACCAGGGAAACGAACGTTTTCTCTCTGTATTTCTTAAGCTGCCGTGCATGGCCTTTCCTTCCGGGGGTCCTGTGGACTCTCTTCCCCCCATGCTCTGAAGGACGATGGTCCTTCTTCTTGAGGCACTCCTCAGGGACCCCCAAAATGAATGTCACGTGTGCCGCAAACCTTAACTTAGGCCAGACTCTCTCACATATACCCTTAATATCTGATGAAAATCCATCTAGCCATTTCCATGAGATATGGTCACCAATAGACGGAAGCTTTAATTAATTAATCACAATCTTCGTGTGCTTGATATCATGTTATATAGTTATTTCCACCGCTATTTATACTTTTCACATATGGATTTTTCTCAGCATCATTTAAGTTTGTTTCAAAGTGCTATTCTTTTTTAATAGCTGCATATTACTCCATTTGAAGTGTGCCGTAATTTATTTGATATATCCACAATTAGATAGTTAGGTTGTTTCCGATTTTCATTGTCATAATTAATATATGTTGAATACCTGTGTACAGAGTTTTGTCTCCATTTCTGCCATTCTCCTCATTGCGCTGAAGGATTGGGGCCAGGGACAAGTTCAGGTGCTTGTTCAAGGTCAGGCCACTCGAGAGAGGCAGAGCTGGGGCCTCTAGACTCTCATCTAATGGTCTTGTCCCTGTTTTCACGGTGGTTCCTGTAAATGGCTTTGGGAGGCAGGCAGGACAATTTTATTACGGTTCCGTGTTGAGGAAACCAACTCCCAGAGACGGGAGGCCCCTTGCTCGGGGTCACGCAGCCTTTAAGTGGGGGGCTGGCTTTGACCCACCACCAGTGCTTTCCGTAACTGTGTCACGATTGCTTTTCCAGCCTGTCCTTCCCACTGGGGCGGAAAGTAAACCGGGACCCTCTTGAGGGAGGAGGGAGAGGACCTGTCTTTCCCGCGCGTGACCTGGGGCTCCCAGAGCGGGAATTTCACGGAGCAGCGGGTTGGAACAAGTAGGGCCAGGACTTTGGTTTGTTTGTGTCTGGATGCCATTTGCTGGTTGGGAGCCAGCCTTGTGTCACCGTCACCAGGCTGCCCTGGCGGGAGAGAGTTCATGGGTCAGGGCTCAAGCTGCCCACCCTGTCTTTTCTTGACTCAGCTCCTGCATCAAGACCCAGAGTGGCCTGCAGATCTGCAGAGTTCCTCGAGAAGCAACACATCGAGCCACCAAAGTCGGCCATGGGCCATGTACTAGTTTCCTAGGGCGGCCGTAACCAAGTACCAAAAACTAGGTGGCTCCAAGCAACAGAAATTCATTTTCTCACAGTTCCGGAGAATGGAGGTCCAAACTCCAGGTGTCGGGAGGCCGTGCTCTCTCTGACGGCTCGAGGGGAGGGTCCTCTCACCTCCGCTAGCTTCAGTGTCGGCTGCGGGTGGTGTTCCCGGACTTACGGGTCCATCGCTCTGCTCTCCGCCTCTGTCATCACGTGGACACCTTCCCCCCATGTGTCATCACATCATCTTCCCTCTGCGTGTGTGTGTCTGGGTCCAAATGTCCCCTTTTAATTAGGGCGCCAATCATACTGGGTTAGGAGCCCACCTCAAGGGCCTCGGTTTAACTTGATTACTTATAGAGACCCCATCTCTAAAGAGGGTCATATCCTGAGGTGGCAGGGGACAGGGTTCCGATGTCGCCCTACGTTTTTAGGGGAGGAAAAATTCAACCCATAACAGCTGCTTAAATAGTAACTGAGAAGAGCTGTCTTTTGCTGTGTACTCACTGCGGGTCTCGCACTGTGTTAACTGCTTTGGAGGCATCATCTCATTTAACCCCATGAGCTGGGGTGTGACTACTCCTATTTTACAGATGAGGAAACTGAGGCTCAGAACTGCCCAAGGCGTCTCAGCTAGTACATAATCCAACTCATGATCAGACTCCTCAGCCAGACTTCTTGACCTCGGTGATAATGTGTCTGGGTTTGGTGAAAAGGGTGTGAAGGTGACTCCTACCTAAAGAGGCTTGACCTCTGTGGCCAATCGCAAAGCACATGCCCTCATTCGCAAGTTATGTGGATCCAGCTGCATCAGCCATGCTTATGCCACCCTTCCTCCGGGGACTCCCTTTGCCCTTCCAGGGCTGTTGTCAGTACCGCCTCCTCTGAGGAGCCTTCTCGGATTTTCCCAACCAGCAGTGTCCACCTCTGTCTTGAACACCCACAGCACTCAGTTGAAACTTTGCTTAGGAAAACAATCACTGTCTGCCTTGGACTGCAGTTACCTACCTGGGTTGGGGTCTTTGTTCTTCCCCTCCCAGCCCCATGACTAGCTCAGGATCTCAGAAACCTCATCAGGGAAAAATGGAAGGACTCTAGCCAGCTGACAACAAAAGGCCTGGCCTCCGGGATCCTGGGCCCTCAGTTAGAGAAATGAAGTACTTATTCTGAACAACGGGATAATTAGCAGGAGCCTGAGGCTTGCCACAGCGCTTTGGGGCAGGAGGAGTGAGTATAGGCCGGGAATGTGGTCAGGGCAGGCTTCCTGGAGGAAGTGGGGCCTGGCTGTGCAGAGTTCAAGCTGTGTGGGAGCAGGTGCCCATTACAAAGAGGCTTCAGAGTCCCCTTTCGGTTCCCTCCTCACCTGGCGAGCTCCTACACATCATGACTCCCTTCAGGCGCCACCTCCTCTGGGGAGCCTTCCTGAATTCCCACCGACTGTGCTGCCATAGGCCCTTAGGCCCCCGGAATGTCGCAAACACCACCTGGGGAATAGCCCACTGTGTTGGTGAAGGGGAATCGCCGAGTAGAGCATCAAGCTGGTTTGGTTTGGGTTCAGCTACAGTGGGGACAGTTGATTCTGGGGGCAGCTAAGGGGCAGCAGGTGGTCTGGAGCTGCCGTGGTCCAGGTGAGCAAGGCTGAGGGTGCGCCAAGGTCAGTGGGAGTGGGGATGGAGAGGAGATGGGTTTCGGAGACACGAGGTGGTGGAATTCTTGCCTAGGCTTTGATAAGGAGAGGATGTGGGGGGCAAGAGAGGAATCCAGTAACCCTGGAATTCAGGGTTCCCGTGAGCCTGCTTCCTTTTACATCCGCCGCTTCCTCAGAACCCCACTCCGAGGCTCCTAGCAGCTGCGACAGCACAGGTGCGCCCCTGGCACCGGTTCCAAGCTTCGTCCTGCCCTGTCCTGCTCCGCGGTTCATGGAGGCCTTGTCTCCCACAGGCGGCCCTGGCAGAAAGCACCCTCCTGAAACAGCAGCTGACTCTGCTGCAGCTGAAGAAAGACCTGCTGAGCAGCATCTTTGGCCAGGACAGAGCCGCAGCCCTCCTGGAGCAGGTGGCGAGCTCTGTGAAGGACAGAGACCTGCTACACAACGGCCTTCTGCGGAGGAAAAGCAAACTGCAGGTGAGCCCCTCAGGCCGTCCACCCGGCACTGGGGCCCAGCCAGAGAACTGGGCCGCCCCTGGGGAAGGGTCGGGGAGAGGGCAGCCCTGCGTTCTGATCTGGGCTCCACCAGGGCCAGGGTGTGACCTTGGGCACATACTTTTGCCCCCACAGTCTTGGGCTCCTTGTCTATAAACTGGGTAGGATTATTGTGCAGTCTTTCTAATCTAGTCTTCTGGCCACCTGTCTGCCCGCTGCCTCTGCCCCCACATCCCCTCTCTACACTGAAGTCACTGAACTGTCTTCCACAGAAAGCCGGGGCATGTCAAATAAGAAAATGCAGAGAAAATACGTAAGCTTTTAACCACCTGGAAGCTATTAGATCAGGGACGCATTTCCAAGCAATTACGCCAAAGCGAAGCTGTAACGTGGCATGTTGCGGACAGTTTATTCTCTATGTAACAAATGTTTGCTGAGCATCTGATGATAGTGATGATGATGATGTTGATGTTGATGATGATGATGATAATGATGGCTGTGGTCTCTGGGGCACCACGGGGGTGGGGGGGTAGGCACCTGCTGGGAGCTTCACATCCGTGGTCTCACTAATCCAAGGAGCAAGCATTCTCCAGTTTGCAGGACAGATAGTCTCTGTTGCAGCCCCTCAACTCTGCCACTGTAGCATGAAAGCCACTGGATGCGAGTGGGCGTGGCTGTGTTCCAATAAAACTTTATTTACAAAAACAGGCCTCTGGTAGGATTTGGGATGTGTGGCACAAGACGTTGTTTGCCAACCTCTATTCAGAACAACTGTTACGTGACCCTGAGGAGGGGTGTCCAACCCCCTCGAGGGCTCTGGGAAGGCTTCCTGGAGGAGGTGACGGAGGAGGCTGGAGAAAGAGCAGTTGGATTTTGAGGAAAGCTCTTAAAATCTGTCTGCTGCTCATTCTGTGTCTACAGAGCTTGCTCACTCAGTACAAAGACTTCGGCACTGCTTTTGAGCCCCTGAAGAGGAAGCTCTGGGACCTCCAGGCCAGGACCCAGGCCGAGAATGTGCTTCAGCGAGACCTTCCTGAGAAGCAGGCACAGCTTTCAAGGTTGCAGGTGAGGGATCCTTGGGGCCCAAGGCGCCTCTGCTCAGGTGCCCAGCTCTCCCTTGTCAGCAGTAACCGGCAGAGCAGCAGTAACCGGTAGAGCAGCAGCTGCCCCAGCCGGAGACTTAGACCCCCACTTGGGGTCTGATCTTTAGTCTCGGTTGAATTTCTGCCGATGAGCTGATGGTTTCTGCCCTCAGCAGGGACGTTAGCACCTCCACACAGCTGATTCTCAAGCCTGATAAATGATAAGCTTTCCTTTTGCTTACCCCACAATTCCAAAGTCTAACATCGGTGTTTGTTTTTAAAGTTGCTTGGCGAAGTGTTTCTAATGAGTCCGGAGGCCTTCACTTAACTAAACCTATTTGGGAATTAAGAATAAATGCTTTAAAACACATGTACATAGGCAGATCATCGATGATTGCTGGCCCGATGAGGAGCTTGCTGGTTTTTAAAATGCACGTGATACAGTTCTGTGTCGTGGACTGTCCGCCCCAGAGCAGGGAGCGCCTGTCACTGTCACTGTATCTGCTGGCATCTCCCCCACGAGTTTCCAGGAAACACGGCTCCACCCAGAGAGGCCCATTGACCTGGGTGAGACGTAAAGTCTAGATGAGTTCATTTAATTCTGTTTAATAAGTCACCAGCTAGTGGTCCCGAAATTGAGGCAGGGGGAGCAGAGTGGGGACATAGGGATCACTGTCCCATCTTCAGAAGATACAACAATAATCTCTTTAGAGCCAAACACAGCTTGGAGAGTGTTCTTTGGGAGACATTAAAAGTGGGGCAATTTGGGCTTTAAAACTGAAGCTGGGGTGTGATTCTCCATAACGGGAGGCGGTCATCAAGTGAGAGTCCAGAGGTGTTTGTCCTCCGGTTTATTTTTGTGGCGTCTCAGAATATTTTTGTCTCATTTGAAAAATTCTCACCAGCCCTGTGAGTGGGACCACCAGACGCCCATGCAGTGTAGCCTGTGGAGTCAGGGAGCCCCACCATCCTGGACCCTCCCAATGTCTCCCGCCCTGAGCAGCATCCACGGTGAGAGGCAGAAAGGACGCCCCCACTTATTCCCTCCTCTGCTGCAGGTGCTGCAGGAGGAAGGGCTGGACCTGGGGGTGCAGATGGAGGCCGTCAGGCCTCTCATCCAGGGGAACCCCAACCACCAGCACAAAATGGACCAGCTTTCTGCCCACTGCCAGGCCCTGCAAAGGTCTCTGGAGGTAAGGGGCCAGCGGAGGGCCTGTGCCGTGACAGACACCGGGCCCTGCAATCTGACCCTCCTGGAGCCTTTCTCCTCTTTTCTTCCTTCATTCCTTACAACTCTTCCTTCCTTCCTTCCTCGTTCATTCAGCAGATGATTATTGAGCGCCTCCTGTCTGCCAGGCGGTGTTCTGGGCCCTAAGGACCAAGACAGCATGAACAAAATAGCCAAGACCCCTGCTCTCCCTGGGTTCCATTCTAGTGCATAGATGGACAATGAGCCAGCCGCCAACAAGTAAATATACAATTCCACATGTGCCAGGTGCCACAGAACAGCATGGACGGCTCGGACCCCGACTAAAGCCCAGTGGGCAGCAGGCGCCCGCCCTTCGAGTTCGCTGCCTCAACTCGGGGCTGGAAGTTGGGTCCTGGTGGCCTTGAGCCTCGTCTGCAGTGCCCTCTAGTGGCCACCTGGATTTTTTTCTGGTGCCCATATAGGGTTGGTTTCCTTTTGAGCAGTGGGAATGGAAATTGAGGGTCCTTCAAAATTCCCCTGAGGACAAGTTGAAATGCAGGCTCCAGGCCCCACCCTGACACTGACTCAGATGGAGGCCTCGGTCTGCACGTGTAACAGGTGCCGAAGGAGGGCAAAGCCAGCTCCCAGGCAGCCTCGCCTCAAGAAAACTCAGTCGAAGCAGGCTTCCCTTCTCTACCGGACCCTGCGTGCTCTATTTAGTCATAAATATTCCTAACATCTCCTTTGTAGACCTGAAATTCATAGATAGTATAAGTACCCACACCACTTAAAAATTTAATATAATGCCCTTTCTATAGCAGAAAAGAGAACTAAAAGGAAAATAATCATTCGAAATAATGTCTTTCACTACGTCAGTTATCCAGGATGGCCACACCAAAGATAGGAGGTGGTCGCAACGTCCCCCCTCTACATGACAGCCTCAAATGCCTCCGGTGACGAGATTTTCTGAGATGAGATTAGCCCTTGGTGACGTCTCAGTCAAGCCAGAGTGCAGTCTTCCATCAGGTTACAGAATAGTTGCATTCCTGGAAAGTTAGCAAGTTTATTAAGACTGCAAAAATCTCTGTGTTTGTATGTTAACTGGAGTAAGAGTCTAAGCTGGGGCCTCAATCAACAGGATTTTCACCGTGTGGATATCGGTAGGGCATGAGAAAGCCCTGTGGGAGGGGGCAGTTCTGTGCTGTGGACTGTGCGCCCCAGAGCAGGGTGCGCCCGTCCCTGTCACTGTATCTGCTGGCATCTCCCCCACCCTGTCATCACAGCAACCAAAACCCCCCATGAGTTTCCAGGAAACACGGCTCCACCCAGAGAGGCCATTGATCTGGGTGAGATAATAAAGTCTAGATGAGTTTGTTTAATTCTATTTAATAAATCACCAGCTAGTGGTCCGGAAGTTGAGGCTGAGAGAGCAGAGTGGGGCATAGGGATCACTGTCCCACCCTCCGAGTGCCGCAGAATGCACAGAAGCAGCAAACATCAGCTTTAATGTCTACACCCAATGACGAGCCAGATTGACCATTCGATAACGTGAAGAAGCGTTAACTGACCATCACCGGGGGCTGTGAAATGGATGTTCCGATCCCATCACACAGCATTATTGTTTGATGCTGCTTTAAAGAAGTATTGCCCCTCTCATTATTTTGATACCCAGTGCTTTTTAAGTGTAATAAGTTTTAATAGGCCCTTCCCCCACAGGCCAGGTGATCTTCCTGCCCGCCTGGCAGGGGGCAAATACCCCACTAAGCAAGGGAGGCCATGGAAGGCATTGGGTCTGATGTTGGTGCACAGGAGATGGGAGGAGACTGTGGTAGTGAGCGAGCAGGGAGGCGAAGCGGTATCGTTTTTCAGGCCCTTGTCAATGGTTCGTTGAGGACAGATGCGGTATCCCCTCTCTGTGCCCCAGCCCCTGGTGGGCCTGTTGTCCAGTGGCGTCAGCCAGTGTCTGGCATGCAGGAAGGCACGGCCTTTGGTGACCCAGCAGAGAGTCACGAGGACAAGCCAGGGAGGACAGACCCTGAGGTCTGATTGGCCTGTGGTGAGCTGAGAGGGAGGGTCCCAAGCTGGGTGACCAGGAGTATGGAGAATGTCAACTGTAGGATCCTGAGCCCACTTTTCATGGAGACAGAGAAGAACAAGGCACCAGACTCAGAGCCGAGCAATGACTGATCCAGGGAAGGGGTCAATTTAAAAAAACTTTTTACCAAAGTATAATCGTATGTAGAGAAGTGAACCTGTAAGTGTGCAGCTTGATAAATTTTTAAAAACTGAACACATGTCACCAGCAGCCAGATCATGACACAGACACCGGCAACCCCTCCAAAGGCCCTCATGCTCCTACAGTCACTGCCCACCACTCCTGACAGCTGAAGGTAACCTGACCTGGAACTTGGAACAGCATAGATTGGGTTTGCCTGGTTCTATGTGTTATTTAAGTTGAATCAGACAACACGTTTTCTTTTGCGTGTGGCTTCCAGCCGCCATGATGGTTGTAAATCCATCCATGATGTTGCCTTAGATTGTTGTGTAGATGGCTCATTCTCGCCGCTACAAAATATTTCACTAGATGATAATTCCCCAGCCTATTTTCCCGTTCTGCTGTTGATGGGCACTTGGGTAGTTTCCGGTTTGGAACTATTACAGGCGACCCACACGCCTGCCTTTTGATGAGGATGTGTTTGCATGTGATGGGTGCGCGCCCGGTGGGGAAGTGGTCGTGTCACAGGGAGGCCTGTGTTCGGTTTTAGTACTTATCGACCTACAGTTTCCCAAGTAGTTGAGCCAGTTTTCACCCACACTGGTGGCAGACAAGAGCCCCGATTGCCCACCGCCTCCTCCGGACTTGGTACTTTCCCTAAAAGTAAGACAGGTGTAGAGGCTCTTTCCACTGAGTCGGCCTTTCCGGGGGGACATTCCTCGCACTGTGCCAAAGGGAGGACCAGCATCTCTCGCTCTGCTGGGTGGGGAGCCCAGGGAGCTATCTCGCCTTGGGGTCCGGGCAGGTCTAGGGGTCCTGAAGGGTTGGAGTGGCCCAGGGTCTTGCTTTGGCCAGCGCTCAGGGCACCCTGGCCCCCGGGGCTGTGTTGCAGGACCTCGTGGACAGGGGCCGGGAAAGCGTTCAGGAACATTACACCTTCAGCCACGAGCTGCTGGAGATGCAGCAGTGGGTCGCCTTGGTCACTCAGAAGCTGGAGTCACACCAGAGGGACACGGGCCCATGGGATACCCAGTCCCAAGAGGCCAACATCGAGGTAAAAGGGCTTTCCCTGCAGAGGTGCTGCACTCCAAAAGCAGGCTTGAGGGACTGAGGTTCCCACACTGGGGAGCAGAGACCCCCTGCCCAGGAGCTCACTGTGTGTGTGTGTGTGTGTGTGTGTGTGTGTGTGTGTCAAACCTACGGGTGACATATACTCGTGTGTGTGTGTGTGTGTGTGTGTGTGTGTGTGTGTCCTGCAGAAGCTGCTGGCTGAATTCCCGGAGAAGGAGGCCCAGCTGCCCCTGATCGAAGCGCACGGCTGGCTGGTGATGGAGAAGAGCCATCCAGAAGGGGCCGCTGTGGTCCGAGGGGAGCTGGCGGAGCTGATGGAGTCGTGGCGGGCCCTGAGGCTGCTGGAGGACAGCCTGCTGAGGTGAGGGCGCCTCCCGGCTCTGAGCCTGGTCTCCGACAGCACCCCTTCGCATTGGGGGCGGGAGGAGCTCAGGGGCGCCATGGAACAGATGGCGGGGTTCCGCCGTGTGCCGGGCCTGGCTCCTGGGCCCGAGGGCATCTCCATTCTGGGCGGGTTGGCATCGCAGCAAAGGCAGTAGGAGCAGGGAAACGTCTCAGCTTGGGGGTCGCCCTCACCTGCAG